TTCCGGCAAAAATCAAGAGGGCGTACTCTGGATGAAGTTCGAAATAACAAAACGATGGAAACCAGAGAAGAACCCCCTTTATATAGGGGCAAATTTTCATCATTGGGCGGGAATACCGATACGGCGCATTTAATGCGCACGATATCCCAAGCCGGGGAAAGCGGCTCGAGGCCATAATGAAGGACGGGTGGCAGTTGGGAAACCCTTCGTCTCCTTACAACGCGTGTCCTCGGTGTCAGAAGATCGAAGGCTGGGGGGCAGTTGATGAGACTCTTCTGAAAAGCCCTATGATGAAGACATGTGTCCTCGGTTTGCTAAAACACTGTTTCTTGGATTTAAGCACCATCGGCAACGAGTATCCTCGCCCCCGAGGGTACCTCTCATATAGGATCATGCATTCGGTATATTATACGACAACACGTGTCCTCGGTCACCCATGCACCTCGGAAACATACCTCCGTCGGTCCCCGAGATGAGCCTTTCCTCGGGGCCGAGAGTTACTCCGTCCTAGACGCTTCCTCTACTCCAGGATAAGCTATTGACGTATAGGTCACTAGCCTAGGCTTGTCTAGGCTGCTCATCATGACCTCGTCTTACACAAGTAATGTCAGGACATACTGGAATACAGAGGTCACAGCCAATAAGGGATGGACGCGTGACAAATGATGTCACTTCAAAGACAGACAAACTGCACGCCGTTGCTGACACGCGGCTTGGGAAGGCAAACAATTAATTGCACCATTTCCTTGATGAGACCGCATTCAATGCGGTAAGGCTCGAAAGTGAAAGGCAATAAATGCTCCTATTACAGAGCATTTATTGCATCCTCCCCGAGAGGAGCATATTGTACCGTCGGCACCCCGACGACTCGACATTAATTGCTCGGGACCCCGAGCAGTCAATTAGAGAAGACATTCCTCATCAGAATCAATGCACACGCAACCTGCACCTAATGATCACCTACTGACCATACTAACAGCAATCATGAGCTTTTAAGGTATAAATATTCCTTGCAAAAGGCAAGACGGGTATGCAATCACAAACTCTCTACTACAGTATATTTTCCTTAGTGTTTTCTCCTTCCTCTCTCTCACTCAAAGACTGACTAGACCGTTGGAGGGGATACGCCGGAAAACACTCCGGCGCCCTTCTAACTTGTTCTTCTTTGTTCCAGGATCCTCTTTCAGCCTTACAGGATCGTCCTCCATCTCACCCAGGGTCTCCCGTTGCCGTTCCAGGTTACCACCGGACCTCGCAGGCTGTTCCAAGCGGCGTGGTTGGTCACTCAACCTGCTCACTCGAAGTTCACCAAGGGAGAGATCTGTTCTCGTTTTTTATATTGTGCAGGATCTTGCACGCACAGGAAAGAAGGCTGCTCCGGTATTGGTATTGTTGTCCGGGATGTTGAAGATGGATTTGTGTTGAGAATTTGCAAGAAGAATGAATGAGAGCCCTAAGTGATGAATGACAGTGTGAAGGCTATGGCGACATCAGTTGCGATAATAATGGCGGTGGAAGCAAAGTTCCAACAGATTGTTTTGGAAGGAGATTCTAAAGTTGTTATTGATGCAGTAAATTCACTACTGTAGATCACATTCTGTTATATGCACAAAAAGTTCATCGATTCCTTAGCTTCCTAGGAAAATAGGGACGAAAATTCTAGTGCTCATTGTCTTGCTAAGTGTGTTGTTTCTTGTTCAGATTATTGTATATAGAGGGATGAGTGTCATGATTTCTTATTAACTCCTCTTCAGAATGATGTATCATCTTCTAATTAATAAGATTATCTTATCGTTTCTTTTCAAAAAATTATCTTACAATTGGAAGGGGTTAAACCGGTGCAAAAGAATAGATACATAAGTGTGTCCATTGGTTATAAAATTCCATATAAATCTAGTGGATTTTATTATTTTATGGGTTAATATTATTTTTTTGTCTTTAAAGTATGTTCGTTTTGTTAGTTTGATCTTCAATATATTAATTTTGTCAATTTAGTCTCTAACGTATTTAATTCATGTTTAAATGATCCTTGTACGGACAGGCCATTAAGTTTTTGATATAAATGACCATGTAACATTTTTTCAAACGGTGTCATATGATCATTTTCGTCAAAAATATAACGGATCGTCTATGCAAAAATCATCTATAATCTATAATATAAAATATGACAAATTTCAATAATTCGATCCGATGATCTCAAATAGGGGTGTTCACCCAATTCTACAAGTAAGAATTATAATATTTTATCTTCCTACCCGATATTTTACTAAAAAAATTTTTGGTCTACCCTACCTGATCAATTGTACTATTCTTACAACGAATTCTGTCTAAAACAATTGAGTAGGAAATCGGTGAACACATATTTTTTAATTATTAATTTGTGGATCATTTTAACAATTTAATTAAGTAATTTGTATCAATTAACTAAACCAATAATACTAAAAAAATATAATAAATTTGATAATACATAAAAAAGTAGAATAAAACACAACAAAAAAGTCATAAATATTAATAAAATATTAATTAGGGTTTCTAAATTTACATTTTTAATGATTAACACACACACACACGCGTGTGTGTGTGTGTATTTTATGGAATACTAAAAAATCTTATGTTAACATATCTTATTCCTTCGGATTGGCGATCAATAGAGTCGGATACGATAAGTTAAGGTCGAAATTTATGGGTAATCGAAAATTTGAACATCTTTAATTTCAAATAGACTCATTTAACGACTACCAACATCCTTTTTAAGAATCTAGGTTTACATTGTATTGTACCTTCAGATACAAGTTATTCCTAGTTTAAACATGAATTACATATTTAAGAGATGAAATTACAAAAACTTAATACATTGAGGATCAAGTTGACAAAAGAGCATACTTCAAGTACAAAAAAATTTATTAACTCTTATTTTAATAACTAATAATAATCTCCACATCTAATAAATATTATGTTAAAATAGCGGGATCTAACAATCGTATTTAGTTAATTTACCATAATCCAAATTAACGATAGCGTGATATTAGCGTCACATCCAATATTTTACTCAAAGGGTTGAGACTTGAGAATCGATGGGAAGAAAACATGGGCACATGCATGCGGAATGACCACTCGTTAAGTAAGATGCTTATAATATATAATCCAAATTATTTAATGATAATCAGAAGTTGCATTAATCATAATTATTAAATCAATAGTGGGTCTTAATAGATATTGAGATTCATAATTAAATCAATAATCGTAATTGATTAGATCGACATTTTTAGTCATTGTATCAATAATAGTGTGAGAAATACAGGTTGGCTTGAAAGATATGTAGTTCTTTAATGTGCTAAATAGTTTGGATGATAAATTGCATCAATGAAAATTTATGTCTTTGGAGATGCCCCGAGTTTAAGTATTATTATCAATGATGATATACAAAATGTGTTTATATATCATCTGTCAAGTATTTAATGCAGTAATAAATGATGAGAATTAATACAAGCAAAACACAATTTAAATGGTTCGATCAAAGTGACATACTCCGCTATGAAAGACTACAATAACTTGAGTGTTTTATTATTTTAAGGAGTGTAAAGTGTTCAAATATGAGTGACACGTGTGAAATGCCCCTTTTGTATATGTGGAGTTTATAATTTATAGGTGTCTTGTAATAAATTGAGGCTTCTTTCTCGTATTAGGTGAGATAGTTTGGTAGAGGTGATGCCCTTCTCATAACAGGTAAGATAATTCTATAGAGGTGGTAACGTGCGTGTTCCAAGGAGATCTCTTTGCAGAGTCCTTTACGATGACACGATTAACCTAACTCCCTCAATATACCTCAGCTAACCTGGTCTACCTTCCTCCATCACGTGGTACACTTGACCCGTACATTTAAGATGGACCTAGTTTGTGATTTTGGACCTAATTTATATATTTGGGCTAGACCTCTAAACTAAACTTGGTCTATAATTCTGAATTAGACCTGCGTGTAAAGCGGACTCATTATTAATTTTTTTGATTGATTTGATGAATATATAATTTGTAAGTATTCCTGTCATTCTAAATTTACGTGTAAAAGTCATAAATTTTAAGATATATATATATGATTAAGATTTTCGATTCAAATAAGAAAAAAGAGACAATATTCGATTGAAAAAAAAACAGATACATGGATTCTGAGTTATGCACTGTCATGAGCTGCTGCTGCCACCCACCATAGTGCTAGTTCATGGTGACAGAACATAACAAAAGGCTTATATGGTTGTCGGTGTCGAATTTAAATATAATCGTAGATTCTAATTTAAATAATTTTTAATTATTATCTAAAAAATAATAAAACTTTATAAATTTTTTCATGTAATATTTTATTAATTACTAAATAAAAATATTATATTAAAAATTTATTTTTTAGACCATAACCACATCAAATAATCTAATGGGTAATCCGGTGGAGACACACACAAACTGTAAATTTAGATATTTTAATCTTACAATTTGATAATCTCCTTAATTTATTTTTTATAAATTTTTTATTTCTAATATAAATGTTTTGCCTTTGATCAAATTAATGAGATAATTAATTGAAGTGAAAGAGAGGCTGAAGCATTCCCTTGATGGGCCATGCCATGTCATCCACCAACCTCAAACCAGTTTGGATGGAAAGGTAAACCTGGTTGGGTTAAGTCCTGATCATGCACATGAGTTTATGACCGTTTGAAAGCCACAGAGAATGTATATTAGTAATTGTAGTAGTACACTGCAGTCAAATACATGACAAAAAGCTTCCTCAGTTTCCCAAAGGACTCTGTACCATATAATATATATAAATAATGAGATTTTTACATATAAAAAGACATCAGAAATAGGCCCCCACCATTACCACCCACCGTCACTCTCATATTGTGTTGTCTAGAAATCTGCATTCCCAACGACACCTCCGCTCTCTCTCTCTCTGTCCAGGTGTTCAAGCTAATCCAGCCTTCTTGAAGCACTGCCATAATCTTTGCACAATCATGGCTTATTTTGTCCTGTGTTTAGTACTTTTCTTGGCCATGACTGGTCATTCAAGTAAGCTCTCCTAATTTTATATCTTCGTATATTAATTAGCTCTGTCTCAACCTTTGATCATTTGAGGGAAAGGGGTTCAGTCATCAAATGTATTTTTCCTTGAGATGGGTTTTTATTTCTCTTTCTCATGCCTTTAGAGTTTGCTTTTGATGACAATTTTTTTTCCGTTCAAGTTTTCTGGGTTGGATCTCAATCTGGCTGTAAAAAGATTCAAAAAATAAGTCTTTTTTTTTTTTTTTCATTTTTCCCCCTTTCCCTTGCTTTCTCTTCTGACACATTCAAGCTTTTATAAGGAAAAAAATGAATCTTGATGAGCTGATCTGTTTGTGTTATGTGGATTTCTTATTTTTAGGTGCCCTCTATTGCATATGTAATAGTGGGATGGGTGACTCAGCCCTTCAGAAGAACATAGATTATGCTTGTGGAGCTGGAGCTGATTGTTCTCCAATCCTTCAAAATGGTCCTTGTTACAACCCCAACACTGTAAAAGACCACTGCAACTATGCTGTTAACAGCTATTTTCAGAGGAAAGGTCAAATTTCTGGGAGCTGTGATTTTGCTGGCACTGCAGCCCCAAGCCAAACTCCCCCCAGTGGTAACACCCTGTTAAGCCTTCTAGATTCACAGACCACCCCCCCCCGACAAAAAACAACAGACACACACATGTATATGTATATATGTGTGTGTATATATATGTACTCACTCTTTCTGGGTGGTAATTTTTCTCTATTTTCTTGGTGGTTTACAGGCCAAACTTCTGCATGCGTTTATCCATCAAGTCCCAGGTACCCTTTTTAGCTCCTGCTTTGATTTCATTTCTAGATCTCGTGTGTTCCCATTTTTCAGATGAATTTTTTTCCATATTTTGGAGTGTTGAACCCTTTTTCTGTGGAGATTTTTGGTGCTATATTAGACATGGTAGCCCCTTTTTTACTGCCTAAACCTTTTCTCTCTTGTGATTTAGACATGGTGCTATATTAGCTCCTGCTTTGATTTCATCTCTCCCTTAATCAAGTTTCTATGGGAAAGAAAGGGAAAAGGATAGCTTTAGTATTGGTCTGAGAATTATATTCTCTTACTTTTTGCTTGTTGAAAGTTTCTGTAAGGAGGAGGATCTGGTTCTCTTTCTTTCCATTGGATACTCTTTTATATAGAAGTTTATTTTCCCATTTAATCAACCTAAATAAATTGTAGATTTGGGACTTAAAATTGGGGGTTTTTTTGGTGAGTAAAACCTGTCACTTTACTTGAGCATAGTTGTAGTAAAACTGTTGTTTTGAAGTTGGAACAATGACCTAATATTTGACCAACTCTTCAAGTTGAATCATGATTTTTTTTTTTTTGGGGGGGGAATGAAAAGTATAATTTTTTAAGGTATAAATTACAATTTTAAAGGTCATGATCAGGTGTGATCAATACCGAGAGTTCATAATCGATTATGAGTGTTTGTGATCGATCATGCCTTCCCTTAAACGGTTATAATTTCTTTTTTGTAAAATTATAACTTTGCCATAAAAAGTAATAATCGATGTTTCCATTACCCAAAAAAAATTTGGAGTCTCCCCTTTTATTGGACAGTAATTTGGGAAAGCAGATCTAGGTCCCATTCCAAATTTCCAATATTAGTTTCTTACTCTGATTTCATGAAACAAGCCTGTTTTTTTTTTTTTTTTTGGATCAAAATGAAACAAGCCTATTCATGGGGACGGATATGAACTGTCTTGATGTTGATGTTTTCCATGTGTTTTATTTGTCCTTTTTCCCTTGCCGTTATAGTATTCTGATTCCATATGTTAGCTTGACATCTGTTTTTCCTTTCATGTAATCATATTTATATCAAGTTAGGTCTCCTTTTGTTTTCTTCATTTGGTTGCTTTTTTGTTGGGGTTTAACATTGGGAAAAATTGTAGTTTACATCTCCTGCATGGGTTTAAGTCAGTAACACCTTGGCTCACTACAATGTAATACAAATTGAAATTTTTTTACTTAAATTAATAAAAAAGGAGTAAAAGTCACACTTGACAGGCTATTTTATTAAAAATGTCGTCTTTTGACTTTCAATCGTCGGTTTTCATGGAATTTCTAACAATTTCAGTTTAATCCCAAACAAGAATGGTTATTCGTAAGTTCTTAAAGCACAAGGAGGTAAAGTGTGATGGATTTAACGCACGAGATGTGACCAATAATTTGTCTTTTGATATTATATTGTGCATCTTTATTATGATTTTAGAGTGATATTGTTGTTGCCATTCCTATTTTTCTCAGTAATGCAGGAACACCGTCAACCACACCTCCATCAAGCAACACCCCCCCATCAACCAACACCCCCCCATCAAACAACGGCCCCCCATCAAACAACAATTCATCCATCACACCACCCTCAACCACATTTCCAGGCAATCCGAGCGGTCCAACTTTTGGCCCTGTCCCTTCAGGAAATGGCATCAGCACAGACAACAGTGGCAGTGATACCCTCCATCATAGCACCACAACTTTGCTTTCCTCTTTGACTCTAACCCTTCTGTTTTCAGCTTTGCTATGGTTGAGGGTCTGAGATGGGTGGGTTTATGATGTGTGGATGAGATTTTGCCACGTCGGGACGGGGGTAGAGGCTTGTGATTGTACAAGTTTGGGTAGTATGGGAGGAGGAATCATCTGGGACACAACTCCACTAGGGTGTGTTTTGGGTCTTCTTCCTCCTGTGTGAAAAGGGTTGGGAGAATTTGATTCCTTGAAAGTGATACCCCACTGGGGATAGAAGAACCTGATCTCTTCTTTTTAGATTTTTCCTTTTGTATATCTATGAGAGAGAGACAGAGAGGCAGAGTATTTTTTTTTTCTTTTCAATTATATTGAAACTGTGCTACCCCATTACCTCAGTTATTAACTCTGTCTCTATTAGATTAACAGTAACTGATCCATCAGAGTGCATTATTATCTATATTTAATTATTTGTTTGTTTTTTTATTTTTGTTTTTTCCTTTCTCACATTCTTGTTCCTGTACATGAGTGGACATTAGACAAGAAAAGAATTACTAATAGACTTAAAGTTTGTAGATGAATCTGTTTCAAGAATTTTTTTTTTGTCTATTCTACTCGATTAGGTTAGGTGTGGTATTTTTACCTAATTTTTAATCCGATTAATTGGATAAGAAATCGGGTAAGAAGTCGGATAAACACTTTTGTAGTTATTAATTTTTGGATCATTTTAATAAGTTAATTAAATAACATGCATCAATTTAACAATATAATAAATCAATAACACTAAAACATAAAACAATTGCAACAATAATTACAATAAAACATAAGAAAATAAGAATATTAATCTATTATAATTGTTACACAAATACAATAACAATTATTTTAAGTTTGAATTATATGAAACACATTAAAATTATAATTGTTCTAATAGATAATTAATTCACCACAAATCATGTAACTTACACAAAAAATAAGTTCATGTTTTCGTAACGTAAACATCTATTAAAAAATGTTATAATATAACAATAACAATATTATAATATAAATTATACAACACAAATACTCTTATAATTATTAAAAAAATATAAAAAAGTTAAATATATTTTTTGCGCGGGTAGGGTAGGGTAGAAATGTAAAAATTGATGGGTATTCTGCATTCCTACCCGATTTAATCGGAAGACCAAAAATTCTTCTACATTCTTACCTGATTTTTGCGACTAGTCGTACAATAGAGTAGGATAAGATCAGATAAGATAGAAAATTGCGGCCAATCAAAATTTGAATACCTTACTTATACTTTATGAACTTTGAAGATCAACCGGATTGGCCCAACATACAAACAACATATATGTGAGGCATGTTCACCAGAGAATGTGTGAGTT